CTACTGGATTTGAATATGGAGGAAGGATCTCAAAGCCAAAATTGCAATGCCCGATAAGGGAAAGAGTGGAGAAGGGAAATCTCCCTAGAGCCCTGGAGTGATCCTGCCAATAGGTTGGTGTTGTCCCAGTCAAATCCTTTTCATATTTATGACCTCCAGAAGCATATGTAATAAATTTTTATTATTTGAAGTCTGGAAGATTGTGCTAGTTGATTACAGCAGCAGTAGGAAACTGAGACAGGGCAGATCAGCAGGCAGAAAGGAATAGGACAGGTATAGGGGCACACAGGCAGGAGGGCAGGCAGGAGGTCGGAGTTAGGTGGACAGGCAGTGATGCAGGTGGGTAGGAGACAGGTGGACAGAGAAGTAGGGAGCCTAGAGAAGGTGACAGAGATGAGGGCAGACAGACACAGGGACATGAGCAGGATAGAAAGAAGAAAGGGTAGGTGGTAGATAGCAGGATGTGGACAGGCAGCGACTAGGATCAGGGGACAGGAGAGCACCATGGCAGATGGGAGCCCTCAGAGCCGATTCCCATAAGGTTTAGGGAGCTTCCTGAGATACAGGTTGATCCCATTCTTGGATTTTAACACAATTCGTAGTATGGGGATGGGGATCCTGGTGGGATCAGGCAGCAGCTCAAAACGTAGCAAGGTCAGGGCCACAGCCACCTTCAGCTCATTCATAGCAAATTGTTTCCCAATGCAGTTCCTGGTTGGGGCAAGGACAGTGAAATGAGAAGTGGCATCAGGCCCCCTTCTGTGCTGGGCAGGCACTGGCCCCAAGCTCTAACCCCGAGCCAGGCACACAGGGCCCTCCTGCAAGGGGCTCAGCACTGCTGCCCCATTACAGGTCACTTGCACCTCTACCCCAGCTTCAAGGCGCACTCTCACCTGGCCTTTGACAAACCTACCCGTCTTCAGGACCAGCCTCCCCACCCCCACCTCTGCTCTGAGCAGGCAGGAGACCCTGTGTTAGGAGAGGGCCAGCACTGAAAGGCAGAGTCTAATTGCATTAATCACTTAAAAAGTTAACCCTGAGTTTGTTCACTCTCTCCACAGAGAATTTCTGGTCCCCCAGTGTGAGGCCAGTTTGGGTCACTGTAGGCTGAGGGTGGACCACAGTCTCAGGTTCTTACCACATGGGAGGACACACAGGGACCCAGATCTTCTCATTCTACTTCATAAATGTCCCCCATTTCATCCCTGAGTCCTCCTTCCTGGCAGATTCTGGTCTCCCTGCTTCCCCTCCCTCCACACTGAAGGCACAGCTCCACTCAGACCCTCCCCTGCTCTTCTTCCCAGGGTGGGAGGGCAGTGTCCCAACACCCCCACTGGCATCAAAGCCCTCTATGGCCTCGTCCCTCACCCACTTCTTACCTGTCCAGCCCTACTCCTAGCTTAGGTCATGTGGATGTCATTGAGAATGTCCTCCCTCCACCTCTGTCTGCTTAATCCCCCAGGCTAAAGCCAGTGACCAGCTGGTCCCACCCCTCTTCTGCCTGTCCTCTCCCTTCCTTTGTCTAAGACAGCTTTAGCGCTTTATTCAAGGGCAATCACAGGCCAGTGCCAAGGCAGTGACAGAGGAATGGACCACTCAGTGAACTTCTTCATGATTGAATGAGCGAGTGAAAGAATGAATGAAGGCATGTGTCTGGAGCGTAGATAATACAGTTCTGTACACCTCATTTCTGTCCTTGACTCTGAAATTTCCTATGCAGGGACATATGTATGTTTTATCTATTTTCCCAACACACTGACCCACAGTACAGTCATAGGCTTAATAGATACTTTCATATTTAAATGAAGTTAATTAACTTTAAAAATAATCGTGGAATGGAGTACACTCTTCATGGAGAGTAAAGAATAGTTTGAGCTGGAAACTGAGCTCCCATGTACTCGCCTGTCCTCTAGCGGCAGCAACGTGATTTGCAGCCTACGTTCAAGAAAGGACTCATCCCGGGATCAACCAATAGTAGAAGCTTATTTCCCGGAGGAACTATTTTCTCAGTCTTTTGAGTGAACGTTGACTTGTCATTTGAAGAATTCAGAGAATTATATATTCAGAAAAACCTTATTTCTACTAACTACATCATTTTTGGCTATTCGTGTTTCACAGGACGGTTCCTGAAACCTTTGCAGATTTTTGTGGCAATTATTTGGGGTTTTTCTGTCCAGTTCAATCACCATTTCAAGCATCTTTCAAATGTTACATATAAGGTATGTGTTATGTACTAAATAGTGGGTTTTCTCTCAATGACAGTGTAGTGTCCTCATTTTTATGTTTTTCCCCCACATTGTACAATGCAGACTATGGGTCTGCGGTACAGACTTTTCCTTGCACACACAGAATTTGCTGAATGGGATTGAGACGTGGATGTATAAACACTGTAATGCTGTCAGAAGTGTATTGGTCCAGACAGCCCCATGCGCTTTACACATTGCTATAAAAGTTTCTACAAAGGGCTGCCTTAATTTCACTTATGTGGCTTGAATGGCAGGACTAGCAAGGTGTAGAAATTGGGAACACATGGAGAGATCTCAATGATAGACTCCATGGCAGCCTGGCGAAGCAAGTAGAAAGGTGGTGTGGTGATATGAGAACGTGTGCTCAGAGAGACATTGCCCAGTGTTCCTCATAACTGAGAAAAACAAACACCTGGAGTTTACTGGGAAAAACCTAATCCTAGAAATTCAAATTCCTAAAATAAGGAAACCAGCAGAGTCCACTGAAGTTTGGAACATCCACTGGCACAGGGGAGGCCACAGGCAAAATCAGAGGAGCAAAGTCCCCCCCAGGGGTGGGTACTGACTTGCCACCTTCCTTTTGTACACACACCTCTGGTATGTGCCCTGAGACTGCCCCATCTCCCCAGCCCCATGACCTCATAGGGCGCCTCACCTTGCTCCCCCCGAAAAAGGCAGGAAAGCATGGCTGTGTTGAGCAGAACCTGGTGTAAACCGGGAGGGGTCAAACACCTGCAGAGAGAGCACCAAGACCAGAGCAGGTAGAGGTCAAGGCCTGCTTCCCACCTGCAAGGAGACAGGACACCACCTTCTTCCAGGACCCTCTTACCTCAGGGTTGGGCCACACCTTCGGGTTGTGGTGAAGGCCATAAATGGAAAGTGAGACTACGATACCTGTGGGGCGAGTGTGAGACAGACAGAAGAGTGGTCATGATGATACCCACTGGTGGGACACCTGGTCCCTCAGCCAGCAGGGCCATGTGCATGCGCAAAGTGCCACTGTGCCACAAAGCATCACTTTGAGCAGGATGGTCATGTCACTGTGCAGGTGGGGTGGGCTTCCCTAAGCACATGAGCTGAGGTGGGAAGCAGAAAACCATGAATCCAGGAAGGAGGAGCGAGAAAGAATCGGAGGCTTACTGTTTGTAGTAAGTCGTGGGACACCTCCCATTTCTCAGATGCACCCCTTGAGCTGTTGGGGAATATTCTTTAACTCACAACCACCCTCTAGGGAACACTATCTGTTATCCTTATTTCTCAGATGAGGGGCCCGAGTCTGAGGCTGCATGTCTTGCCTAGGATCACACAGCTGGCATGTGGCAGAACCCCATGGGGGTTGAACCTTGATGGTCTCTGGCCACTGCAGGGGTCTCAACTGCTCTCTGCCCTCAACCTGAGGACTTTTGAGCCACTGGACCTTTCTGACCCCTGACACTGGATTCCTGATCTCCCTCATCTGCCTTGAACTAACAGGGAAGGAAACACATCCCCTCACCCGGAACCTGCCTGGTTCTCTCCAGCCCTGCAAATCTCAGGGAATAAAGTTGTCATCCCAATGACACACCCAGAGGCTAACATGTATTTATTGAGCTTTTGTCGGGTTCAATATCTGTGCCACATTAAGATCATAACATCTGAATCCTAAATATAGCATGAGTATTAATTTAACTGATGAGGAAAGGGAGATGCAGAGAGGTTCAGAACGCTGAAGGGCCCATAGATTTGTGTGTCCCAGCAGAGTCTTAGCTCAGTGAACACTGGGAAGTTCATACCTTTGGGCAAGGAGCGTCCATCAGGGAAGGTGATGGGTTTGCTGAGCTCCCGGGCAATGCTGGGCACCGGTGGATAGAGTCTCAGTGCCTCCTTGATGCACATGGTGGTATAGGGCATCTGGTCTAAGTGGGCCCTGACGAGAAGCCCATCATGAAGCCCAGGCAGCTGGGCAGACAGGGGCCTCCCCTCTCAGGAGGGCAGGGCTTCCCCACAGGGTGGGCACTCACTCACCAAGTGATGGAGGCTCCATCCCCCAGGAGGCTCTGGATCTCCTCTCGGCACCTCTGCTGATGCTCAGGGTGAGCAGCCAGAGCATAGAGGATCCAGGAGATGCCGCTGGCTGTGGTGTCATGGCCCTCGAACATGAACGTGTCCACTTCGGCACGGATGTCCTTGTCTGACAAGCTGCTGCCATTCTCCATCTGAGGAGGCAGCAGTGAGAGGGCACTATTGGTTTTCTGCTTTCTGCTGAGAGCCAAGCCTCAGGCCTCTCCTACACACACTCACTTTGGATAGGAGGAGGATGTCCAGGAAATCCAAGTGCCTCTTTCTCTGGACTTTCTCCAGCTCCCCTTCCTCCTGCAGGTGAGCCTTCCTCAGCTGGATCACTCGGTCTGTCCCAGAACAGTGGTGACTGGTAGAGCACACCAACCCCCAGTACCTAGCTATTCCATTGCCCCAGTCTGGGTGCCAGGTAGAGCTCAGGATGGGCTCAAACAAGTTTTGGCTTTTATACAAGAGTGTACCATTCCAAGGGTGTGGGAACAGATGCACGGGTCAGGGAGGGGGCTGTAGCCACATGAGGTACCCGTCAGTCCTCTCCCCTAGAGGCACAGCCCATGGAGTCACTGCTTGAATGCTGCTGGGATGGAGTCTCATTCAGCCAGCACCACTGTGATGACACAGGGCTCTGCACAGCACCTGGGCCCCAACATCTCAGTTCCCTCTCCCTGCCTCAGGGAAGTCCCCAGTGTGAGGGAGTCCTAGCTTCTTCAGGGACACCGGGGACCTGGCTCTGCCTCCCTGCTCGGGGTGTGCTCCTATAGCTGCACCTGAAAGAGGCAAGAGACAGAACCTGTGTGCTGATGGGCAAGCTCGTAGGCACGCTGGGCAGAGCGTCCATCTGTGGTCAGGCTGTAGATGATGTTATAATGGTAAAAGGCATTCCGTACGCGATGAAAATACAGGCTATTCAGGTCCCCAACAGCCTGGATGTATGATCGGGAGTTCCTGAAGGGGAGGAGGGAGAAGATACTGGAATGGAGGGAGCCTCTTACCTCGAGGCTCAGTGGGGTCTGGGGGAGAGGGCCTTAGACAGTGGGGACAGGCAGTACTGAGGCATGCTTCTTTCTGACCCACAGCCCTGTGACCTCAGGGCTTTATACTCTGTAAGATGGTGTGAGCAACCCATGTTGGCCTGTGGGAGCGAGCAGGGACCTGGGGCTGAGTCATGGTTTGGTCTGTTCTGCATTTAAAGCTTGTCAGGGGCTGAGACTTGGTTACTGTGCAGGTGTCTCCTTGCTGCCCCACCTGTCTCTCAGGGACACCCATTCCAGTTGGTAAGGACCCTGCAACTGAAGGGTCATCACGGACCTGTCCAGCTGGATGCTGCCCTGGTGGCTGAAGGCACACTTCATGATGGTGTCCAGGGTCATCAAGGAGATGTGTTGGAAGATCTCCAGAGGGGAGTCCTGGCTGCTGAGCTCTTCCCACTTGTCCTGTGATGAAAGGGAGTTTTGACCTTTCTTGATTCTCAGAAATGCAGTAACAGGTAATTCCAACTTCCCCTCTTTCCAGACACCCTGTTCAGAATCCATCACTTTATAGAGCATATGCACTATAGCCGATTAAAAGTATAAATAAAAGTGTTAGCATCTTATCACAAATTTTATTTCAATATTAAGCCCAGTCTGTCGTAAGATATGAATTACGTTTTGACTTTTTGGAACCTGTTATTACTTTGACTGATGGTGATAGACAGACAGATAGATAGATCAGCAGAACCTTTCAGTGTCCTGAAAGTAGAACTAGACTTGAAGGACAGTGAGGACACCAACATTTGGGAACAAATGATTCAAGGCAACAGAAACCTATGTGGCCAGTATGGGCTTTTAGTGCAGGGACATAAAGGACTTCAATTCCCTTTCATTCATCAACTGTTTGCTGGCCACAGCTGGTGAGAAATCAGAGTGCTGATGGGTCATAACAGTGTGGCAACCATGGCTCTGAGAATGCAGACCTGGTGTTCACTGCATGGTGGCTCCAAATCCCCCAGAAACTGAGTCCCTGGCCAGAGTCTGGCTGAGTGGCACCCAGTATGTCCACTGTGCAAGTAAAACTGCCATTGCCCAGGCCAGCCCAGGGTGGGTAGTCATGCTGTCCAGCGGGATTGGCCACTGTTCCAGTCCACTTTGCTGAAGATGTGAACACGGGAAGAGAGGGGCCTTGTATCCACCATGACCCTGTTTCCCTCACACCATGAGCAAAGTGTGGATCCAGCCCATGCCTGGCACTCTCCCATGCCGACTCCCACAGGAATGGCCTGAGAGTGCTGTTCCATATGTCTGTGCCACCCATCAGTTGGCACAGGCGTTTGAGTGGAAGTGGTGAGAGTGTGCTGTGAGCGGATGTGTGGAGGGCAGACTGAAATGGACTCACCAGCATCACCTGGACAGAGTCCACCATGAGCTCCACGTAGGGCTTCAGGATGTTGTAGTGGAAGGCTGGGGTCAGCATGCGCCGGTGCTGGAACCACGTCTGCCCATTCAACAGGAGCAAACCGTACCCTGGGCCAGAAAGGGATGTGTGCATTTGTGTAGGAGATGGGACCAGAGAGATGGCTGGGACAATTTGGGAGGGACAAAAGGCAGTTCCTGGGAGCAGAAACCCAAGGTAAAGATTGGACAGGCCCAGTGCATTTTAGGAATGTGAATTTCCCAATTTGGCTGGGACATGGATGAGATCAGGACAGCTAGTACATAAAAGTTGAAAAGTGTTGGGGGCAGATGTGACCTCTGTGCCAGGCTGAGAATGTCTAGAGAGGACTGAGGGGTGAGTGGAAGAAGCTGAGTCTCAGGAAGACCCACACTAGTGTTAGGAAGGGCTGAGGGTCTTGCTGGAAGAAGAGCCATGAGCCTTGATTGAGGGATGGAGTCACAAAAGTGGTGGCCTGACTCCTGTTACTTGCTATGAGCCAGAGAGAGAGTTCTTGGCAAAGGTATCTGACATGTTGGACCAGTCTTAGCGTAGACATGCTTACCAATCCAGGGAGCCAGGAATTTGTAGAAACCATGATCCTTTGGATCTGAAAGATAAGGCAGGATATTCGTAGGAAACTGAGTGACCAAACACAAAGACAGCTGTGGTTCAGACCATGGCTGCCATTGGTTTTTGATATGTGTCATGTGGCAGTATGCCCCATGTCACCACCCACCTCCCTCCCATCTCTTGTTTCTATCCTGAAAGTCAGTGCGGGTCCAGGAAGACAGACTCAGGGAGCCAGCAGCGGGACACCCAGCAGGATGGTGAGTTGGCCAGAGATGCAGGCAACATCCTCCATGGCTAAGAGTAGGACAGAGTCTTGGGTGTTTCTACATTGTGGTGGCTTCACCTCTCCAAACCCAGGACATCAACAGTAGAAGGTTTCAAACTCAAGTCTGTGTTGATGTGAAATTTGTTTCTGATTTAGATCAATTTACATAACAGATTGCCTCAGTTAGCTTAACAGAGCAAAAGAGAAAAGATTTTTTAAAATTGACTCCACCCACTTGTTTTAAATATTCGGTGCCCAGCAAATATATTTGGCCATAAGGTAGGTTGTGTTTTTGGTGGGGGCTTGATAGAAGGTTCAGATATTGATGTCCGAACTCCCACTTTCTTCTGCAATTTTACAAACCCAGGGGTGTGAACACAAAAGGGAAAAACTGCTTCAGCTGTAACGCATGTTTCACCTCACCTGATCTCCCCAGAATCAGCTTCAAGTAGTCAGGGTCATAGATCTGGACACGGGCATGGCTCCCCCATACCCAGTAAGGGCAGGCACTTGGGAATTTCTCTACCCACTTCAGAATCTGCTGCAGCTCCTTGTCCTTTTGGATCTGTCAAGGAGGGAAAGATAAATCAATGAAAACTTTTGTTTAATGTGGGTCTTTGCCCAGGGTGTGAATGTCAGGACAACCACAGGGACATAGTTCTTAGTGTACCAGTAGATGTTAGGAACTTGAAACTGTTTCTCATGATCTGGGTTTCTGGCTCTCTCTCTCTGGGCCTTAACCTGAGCCAAACTGTCCAGCTATGGTTCTCACCCCATACTGCATGCGGAAACTTAATGCATGATCTCCATATAGCACAAAACCTTTAGATATCACGAGTACAACATTTTCTCACAGCCTGTATCACCCAGTAAACAGATTTTAAAAATAATTGATTGGAGAAATAAAATGGATTACATTTAAAATTTTTAATTATTCATTAATTTTATATTACCATACTGGTTATTATATTTTTGGTATTATCCCAGCATACATGTATGTATCTGTTAAGATATAATAGTGTTTTGGATGCATATACCTAGGTTAAAAAAGTAATAAATATAAAATTGTGTGGATATTAATACTCTACATGTTGGAAATATGTGGAGTTATAGAATAAAGTCTAGATATACATATATCAAACTAGTGCTGGTATTTGATTTTGAGATTTGGTTTTTAATTCTAATTTTCACTCATCAATGAGAAGAGACTTTTGTGAGCTCCCTGTTACCTGGAGTTGTCTTTCTTTCTTTCTTTTTTTTATTAAATCATAGCTGTGTACATTAATGCAATCATGGGGTACAGTGTGGTGTTTTCATATACAATTTGAAATACTCTCATCAAACTGGTTAACGTGGCCTTGTTATTTTCTTAGTTATTGAGTTAAGTCATTCATACTCTGCTTTTAGAAAGATTCACGTGTACCCTTGTAAGATAAACCATAGAGGTGAACCCACCAATCACCCTCCCTCCACCAATCCACCTCCTCCCCTTCCCTCTCTTTCCCCCCTCCCCATATTCTAAGGCTATAATTAGGTTATAACACTCCTATGAAAGCTATAAATTAGTTTCAAAATAGGGCTGTGTACATTGGATACTTTTTCTTCCATTCTTGAGATACTTTGCTAAGAATA